GATGGAGCAATTTGGTGATCCGGCGGGATAGGAGCTGGATACTCTGCTTCTCATCCGAGACTTTCACATCAACCGAGACCGGTGGCCAGGGAAAATAGTAAGGATAATCGAGAAAAACTATGATATGTAAAAGCTAGTGATGGAATATCCTAGGATAGACGATTCGATCACCTTCAAACACTTTCAGAAGCATGTTGTATCGTTCAAAATGCCCATATCCACAACCTCGTGTGGGAGTCTATACTATAACTTTAGCACAAAAGACGATGGTCAAATGACCAAGTCGTTTTTGATTGGTAGTGATCAATCGCTTTGGGCTTCCACAAGCTCAGAGCCCAGTCCTAGTTTCACCACAACCTCTATGCTTCCTCAGAGCCCATGCAGGCTTAACTGCCAGGAAATGAGTCGCGCCTGAGGAGTAGCGGATTTTCAGTCAACAAGTATATGTGGTGGAAATTGTCTAGGATTTCTAGGAGGAAATATCTCGAAGGGCAAGCGTACAATTTCAGACAAGAATTTATCGCTAGTTGTATAGCATATCAAACTCTCTTCTCAATATGAATCAATAATATATAATGTTCCGTTAACTTAGTCTAACATTTTCAAATAAGTATATCCTTAAATACAGACCCCCAAGGCTTCACTGATCCCGAACTCCCAGTGATCTAGCAACAACGAGCCACTTAGAGGGCAAGACCGAACACCTGCGCGCGGTGTCCTCTACGAACCTGGGAGTGAAATATTCTCCCAGAGCCAAGTTGAGTCAATTTTCGCAATACTCAAGGAGCTGGCCAACGAGGCAACGATTCAAATTGCTCCACCAAGTCAATCTTTCAATCCCAACGATATCGGCTCCCACCTAGGTCTCATCAAGTCTACAAGTACAACCAAGTACATCCTCATGCCAATGACCACACCTCTAGTCAACTTTCTCTGGCCTCAGCTGGTTACCAAATATACGCCTACGCCGATACTTACATCCGATGGAGGATGCAAAGCGTGGCGCACAGATCTGGGAGACAGTTCTTTGGAATGGACGTGAGAGGGATTAGGACAAGTTCACAAGATGATGCAAAGGATGGATATAACCTCGAAGAGCGTGAGATTCCGAATTTTGGCAAGAGTTTTACGAATTGAGCTTTGTGCGCGCCAAGACTTAGCTTGCGAGAGTGCAGCTGACACTATAAAAACAAGCCAACGATGGATGGTGTCCTGGTTCGCCTTCTGGTGGTGTTCTCCGGTATAGTTTGAGTAGCCTGGGCACCTACTCCACTTGGGAAGGAGACATCTCAGATCATATTTCGTGCGGAGGAAAGTCAGTGGATGATTAAGGCATGTCTGGATAACTCTGGGTTATTGAGATGTTCCCCTGGGTGGATATTCACGGATGAGGCTTGACTTAGGGTGAAGAAAAAGCTGCCATAACTTCGCAGTGGTACTTGCAAATGAAATCCGAAGCATGAGTGCTCCTCTTCTAAATTGAGTCATCTATTATGTACTTTTCTTTGATATTGTGTCATAGCTAGATAGCTGCATACGCAATTAACATATGATGCAAAAATAAACCAGCCTCTCAATTATCGCACGGTAGCACTTCCCAGCTAGTGCATTTCAGATATCACTGAACTTCACCTCGCCCAGCTAAGCTTAAACATACGCAATCAAATCAAATCAATTGATCTTAATGATCATACTTGGAAATCTAATCCTTCACACATACGAAGTCTAGATTTCCAACAATATATATGTTAACTGGCGTATTAAGTCTATGTGTTGTGCTGGCGATGGCCAGAATTACGATGCACATGGGTACTGATCTCTGGGAGCGAAGAACTTTCCAGCTGATTCCATGATGAGAAGAGGAACAATAATTGTAAGTACGAGGTTAGATGGATGGGTATTGTGGTAGGAAAATTTGTATAAATAATATGGAATGAATATTCTGGTGGTGGTGTGGCGGGCTTTATAAGGAAATGGTTAGACTGCCCTTTGCAGCTATTGATGGTGACATGAGTTAAGATGATGATTGTGATTGAGATCGATTTATATATAGTTTATAATACATGATATGCTCAGGTTCATATACCTCGAGCCAAGCAACCAGATTATGTTCCTCCAGGTCTAGATTCATCCGAATAATTAATTGCTCTGTTGGTAAAACACGAAGTAATACAGATTGGGTGCCGTCACGAAGTCGGTGAATAATGTCAATTAACTGGTATCTCGAAATACATAAAACGTTGTCTCTTCTTCTTCCCTTCTCCCTCTACTCCAAGCGCCTCGCTAATGAGCTAAGTCGGATCCCTGTCAGTGTCCTGACGACAACCTGAATACCGCAATTAGATGGATCAATTCATACTGCCCAAATATGATCCATTTACCGACATGCTCAGTTGTGTGTTTAGGATCTTGACTAGGCTTCTGGTAACTAGTCAATGGTGTTTCTCCTATCACGGAGACATAGTCGTCGTCTGAACAATATCAACTCATGAATCATCTCTCTACATGAGAGGCTTTGCCCGGATTGGGACTCGTCACTAGGAACACTCCGTCTCCAGAGCAGCGCTGCCGGAAATCCGAATGGTGCGCCTAGCGGGGTATCAAGGGGGTCACGTACGAGATGGGGAGAAAGGATGATTCTCAGGCGGCCGAGGTGGGGAGCTAAGACTCGTCTGCGCAGGGGGTATGGGGGATAGGAGACTACAGGGTAGATTGTCTTCTCAAGAAGTTAGTAATTCCTATCGAGCTATTATCTTTCAAGTGCATCTGAATTCATTAAACCTTTACAATATCCATACATATGTTGTGATGTACGCCGTTAGCCCTTAGTCCCGTAACGCTTATTGAGTGTTAACCTTATATAACGGTTTCAGTGCAAAGTGCACGGTCAATCTTGTAGGTACAATATATTAATTACAATTCTCCGGACAAAGTATTTCCCGAGCTAAAGACAACCTATACATACATTCTGAATCATTGCCTCTCACAGGCCGGCTTTCTCACCAGGACAACGGCCTGCTTGTTACTACCATTCTGCCATACGCCAATACTGAGATGCTGCCTTTCGTCTGGTCAACCAAGTCAGGAGCTTCCCAAGTAACATAGTGAAGGCGTTGCAATGCTTACAATGTTGTGATAGCAACAGTCACTAATCAACATAGCAATCAGTTGCTTTGTCATAGCTGTAGACTATTCCATTGATTACAGTAGCCACTCTTGAGTAATTAAGGCCGGTCTGGGACTGGATTTATTCCGAAGATTTTGTCTCATAATTATTTTAGACTGTAGATTGAATCAATTATTACAAGCTTTTCTTTAGACTCCGCCTCCGACCCGTTCCGGCCCGTGTCCTCCGAATAGGGCCAACAATCCTGATATTGCTCTTCGAGAAGACACTCCTTGTTACCTGAATTAATGAGACTCTTCGTCAACTACCTAGAAGAATCTCGATACACCTATCATCCTCATGAACCTTCAGTATGTTTCCAGAAGGTTCACTGAGAATGTTTTAAGCTCCGTGGCTTCCGAGACCTTACCAGAAGATTCCCTTTGTGTCAATACCTACGCTAGCCAGCATAGGATATAGGAATCTTCCAGCTTAATAGTTGCCACACCCTAGCAGTGTTGATATTGTTAAATGGAACATTACCGAGAGAAAAGGAGGACAAGCCCACACACATTAAAATCAGTCTGGGTTTGGGCAGTACTGATTGAGGGGAGTTGTATGGGAAGCACCGGATAAGATCTACTAATAGCATAGGCATCTTTGGCCTGTAGTTATAAATGTCCTGCATGTCCTACATAGTCATAGACTCAGACAGGAAAATAAAATGAAATAGTGATCATAATAGTCTGAATTTTAGGTTGACTGGTATCTATTGAAGTTGTATGACCCAACTAGTGGAACACTGTCCTAAATTTATATCTTTTGGGCGCACCTACACTGGCGTGGCGCCGCAAAGTGAGTGGCATCCTATTTTTGATCATTTCACTTGTAACTTCAACTCCTCAATCTAATTTTCGGATGTAGATCGGTAAATGATGGATCATGACGGGTGTCAAGTCTCAGGTAGTATCGATTGTCATTTGCTCCTTTTGGAGTGAAGGATTCACACACAAAATTAATCCCCTGAGTGCGCCTGATACGCACTTCATTGCTAGATCAGACCTAACTCGTGTCATTGCTATAGTTGCTGAAGGTGCGACTCCAGCTTTCTCGGTAACAATCTTTCTTATAGTGATAAATGATAACATTTTCCACTGATTTTCTCGCCCCATGCCAAGGAAAAGTCGTTTATCATCTTTTGGAGTCTCACAATTTCGTCGCTTCAAAGCATTTTCCCTAAATAGTGAGGCCAATCATCTTCGTTGGGTTTTATAGAAGAGCCCAATAGGTCAATAGACATGAAAGTACATGTTGTCAATTCATTTTGAAATTCTCGCGCTTTCACCAACACATCTATTAAAGGGTTGATTTTTGCCTTACAGTATTCTCAAAGTGTATTTTGTTATCCCTTCAAGAAATATAAATTACAAATATCAAAAGTCATCTTCAGTAGACCTACTTACTGTTACGGTTTGACCGTTGTTTAAGCTTAGGATGAAACCTAAGCGTTTAATTAGGAATAATTACGATAAGACTGAAAGAGGAAAGATTGACAAATATAGATGAAGTGGCACTACTAGCCAGGAGGTCGTTGCAACATCATAGCGTAATGGCTCCTGATAATACTTGGCTCGGTAGTAAGTATTAGGCCCAGGGGAAAGTTTTCAGTCAGCAGATTCACGAAGCGGACTAAACGTTATAAGTACCTGTTAATAGTAGCTAGAGATTTCTTTTCTCTTCATATAGTTTAGTAAATCGATTTATTCATTACCAACTCGGTTTCTGTCACACTTACATATCATTCCAAACCCTTCGATTCGCTTCCTCCCGTCCGCTTAATTTACTGCTGCATTTTCCCTTCTCCTAATTGCTTCTCTTCGTCTGATGGATATCCCTATATCAGAGGGTAGGTTTTGTCAGTAAATCTACAAATGAGTGGGGTGATTGGTTTAACTTGGATAGAAGAAAGTCCCTTACTGTCAATTTTTGCAATGGCATCATCAAAAGCACGAATAATAGGACCGTACAGTATGTCGGTATTTTCGTTTTCTTCATATGGATCTAATTTTTCTATAAAAAGTATTCGACGTAAATCATATGCCAAACTTTTTACATCCTCAAAGCTTGGCGAGAAGTTGTTCAGGATTTGATCTTCGAATTCATCAATGACGAATGATTTCTTGATACGAAAATTATTACCGTGATCAGCTGTGCACCACTGATTTAAATGCGTGGGGGCCCATCGTGGGTGAAGTCCATAGGTGATGCATCCAGATAGAAATACGTAAAAGAATGATTCCATGTCATGCCAATAGTTCTGATGATATTTGAATATTCCGTTACTGACATACTTCACGAGTTCTATGGCCATGTACTTGACGGTTCCCGTTATATTATCCGCCTCAGGCGGATTCTCTCTCAAGTTCAGCGAAATTGACATGTCTAGGTCAATCAGCATACCTTTGGTTATGCCCTCTGTGTCTGGTCTGGTCAGAATTAGATTGCCCTCGGATATATTGCGATGGAGAATTTTAGCCTCATTGAGCAGCTTGTAGTGTCCAATTATCGCATCACGGATGCCGCTTAGAAACTCCCGAACAGAGGTGCAGGATCTCAGAGGTCGACCATATGGCGACAGCTTGACAATGGTGAGTCTATGTTTCTTGTAATATTGTTGACTACTTGTAGACGTTATTTCTTGGCCCCTGGAAGGAGTCTGTTGCGGATCTTTCATGATTACTTGTTCTCCACTCGAAAACTGTATCTTCTTCCCATGTGTTTCAACTTCATATAGTTCCTTTGACCATTCAAGATTGATTACACCTTCCATGTTTCGTGCAAGTTTCAGAGAATCTATTTCTGTCCGACTCGCTCCTGACCCCCATGAAAACTTTATCAAATGCATGCTGTCCAATGTCCGGTAGCAGGTATTTGCTCTAGACATTATTGTCTCTGGTCGGGCTACTGGTTCGGGCGCCACCTGTATAGCTTCCGGCTGATTGTCGCCGTCAGGTATAGTTACTAAGAGCCGGTTCCCGTCATGTCTAGTTGATGTGTCTAGCCCAAGCTCTTCGTCACTCATTAGCACATACGAAGATAGCGCTCGAACCAGTTTTTCCTGACTCCCAATTACATCAATTTCCCTAGAGCTGTAGGCGCCCGATCTGTCAATAACCCAGAACTCAACATGTAGTTTGTGCAGGCAGAACCCATGCACAAACCGACGCAACGGCTGGGCATAAAATATTTCACGGAAGGATCTCATCAGCTTGTGCATTTTTTTACAAATTCCACGAGGAGACGCTATTAGCTCTCCTACTACTCTAACATTACGCCAATCATGAGTCGGACCATCAGGGAGAGCAGCATCCTCGACGAAAAAGTCTAGTTTCCGTGGTCTTAGACCACCTATAAGTTGTTTGGGGTAAGTTGTGTGTGAAAATTTCCCACGAACAAAGGGATCGCCCGCAACCCTATGAACGATGGGTTGGCCATTAGTTGGCACTCTCCCGTTCGGCATATGTTGGTAAAGAAACCGATCTCGAAAAGAATGTAGCCAGTTTCGCATCGCTGCTTCGCTCATCTCCCTTGAGAAAGGGTTTTCCGTTCCGCATTGACCTTGATCACGATAGCTTTCCCAAATACGCATCGTCAAGTCGGACCAGGGTTTGTTTTCAAAAGTCTCCTCCCAGAAGTTATCAATTGATTTGTAAAGGTGACCTGAAAGTTCGAACTTCAGAGCCATAGTAAGAGAATCTGCGGTTCTTCCATATCCGAGCGGCTCTGAACTTTTCCACTTAAAATTAGGCATCGATAAAGTCGATTTCATCGGATTAGTTTGTAATTCAGAGCGTGAAGATTTCAATTCAGTAGTAAGTAAATCTACCATGGTAATGACATAAGACCAAATTTCACGATCGCTTGCAGAGCCAATTATCATGGCAATTAAGCGTTCAAAATTAGAAAAAGAAAGTTTCTTGGAGATAATCTTATAGATTATTAAGCCCAGCTGCTTATCTAGGTTCGAGATGGCGTCGTTATCCGGAAATATTTTGGTCCAACCTCTTAGACTAGAAATGAAATCATCGATTCCTTCATAATTAGCTTTAACATCATCACTCTTAAGTAAGACTTACCTATCATTTCCCTATTACCTGGGTTGTAAGTGCTTCAGAATGTAGCACGTATTGATGCAAGAGTGGCATGAGTGGAACGTTCATAGAGTTCTGTGAAGGGATCCATTTTCATGAATTGTAACGGAGGTTAGTGGATGAAAAAAAACGTGGATGAGAACAGATATGTATACATGAATCTTGAGGCAGACAGTCGGCTGATTTATATTCGCATTAGTCGCATGATATTCACGCACCTGGATGCATTATAATACCTTACTGCCGGGTTGGATAGTGCATTGGTACACCATCCAGGCCGTTCTCCCAAGTAGATTCTAGGTAGCTTGAACACCTACCCCATTCGAGACGGGAGAAAGCCGGCAAAGACGAATTCTTCACCTTCCAGTGGTTCCTGTGTGATCGTTCGGTATGCGCTGCATATCTGAGATAGCCAAGAAGAATCGCAACCGAATCGAAGTCGAATGCAAATACATGCATATCTCCATTTGACGACTTCTCAACTATGCAGCACTCACCATTATCTTCTGAGTCCTCAACCTCGATCTAACCACATATCATCTCGCCTCGACGACCGATAAAGGCGTCAACCCAATTGCAAACAGGAGCTTGCCTCAATCATTACTGGCCATCACTCACTACAAATTTACGACGCTATGTATACCCACGAGGATTTTCTTTCTGTCCTACACAGTTGTAAACTCAAATAGGACGTAAATGGATTATTATTATTATACCCGCAAGGACGAAATTAAGTTACAATATACAAAGTTGAGGTCTTAGTTTATGGGGGACTGATGCTCTAATGGGGTTGTACATATTGAGGAATGACAGGCGGCTGAAAAGTGGAACGAGAGGGGAACAGGTCTTTGAAGACCATGCCGGGACTGATATTTTCGAGGAGTTTTCAACTTTGGATTTTTTGTGGGCGCCAAGACCCAGATTTCGGCTAATTAGCCAGGAGAGCTTCTTTTGTCGATGAGTCAACGGCACTCCCCAGCGCCCTGGACGGTACAAAAGTAGTCGGGCTAAGCTATTGTACAGCAAACACGCTCTGTCAAGACTTTTCTGACATTTCGGCACGACCTTCGGGAAGGAGTTGGAAGGAGGCTAGAAAGGCAGAGGGTGAATTTCCCGAGGTGCCCACAAGTCTGCAGCGCCCAGCTGGCCGGCCTCTTCGAACGCTTCGGAAGGGTCACTATGTCTTCGGATTTAGTCCTAATGTCGGTATTAGAAGAGCCCCGAACCCAGTGGTTTTTGCGATTTTTATTGCCTTCCATACACCCGCAAATGGCCATCGTTTCGTTGGCTGGAGAGGGGCGATAATGAAGGGCAAAGGGCTCCTCTTAGTGTATGATAGAATGAGGACTTTTGAGGGGTGATACTGTTTAAAGGGAGCTGTATGGGAGGCATGGGAGGTGTCACGGTTTGACCGTTGTATGAACTTAGGTGGATACCTAAGTGCAATACTTAGTTTGTTTACAATAAGGTCGCACGGGGAGGGGAAGATGGAACTAGACGAAACGATAATACTAATCAGGACGCTAGATCGCTGTTACAACTAAGTAACACCCAAAGATACGTGGCTAGTTGGCGAGTATGATGTCTGGAGGAAAGCCATCAGTTAGTAGATACACGCAGCGGATCAGTCATTATAAGTACCTATTAGTTATAGCTAGAGTTCTCTTCTCTCCTCATATAGTTTAATAAATCGACTAATTCATCACCAACTCGGTTTCCGTCACAGGAGGGGATATACTAATGGTATAGGTATCTTTGGCCTGTAGGCAGAGAGGACCTGCATGCCCTACATGTCACAGACTCAGACAGGACAATAACATGAATTAAAAAAAAATAGACGGGAGAAAGCTGGTTTGAATCTAGTAAGACCCAAATACCGCTCTCTCTCGAGGTGATATTGTACTGGCGGGATGATGAAAGCACAATTGGATAGCCACAGGGTTTTCACGCTTTTCCCTGTGATAGGTATTTACGGAAGAGATTATACGCCGTATGGGTTAACCTCGAGTGGTATCTGCAAATGAAATCTGAGTGTGAGTGTTGAAAACGTCAAATTGAGTCATCCTACTTAAAGTACATATCTTCCGATAAAATCCTGCATGGGCCTCAGCGCGCCGAATCGGGTGAAAATGAATTATATATATAATACCAAGTGCTAAGAGCTGTACTGTTGTCATGGCAACAACATGAGAAAAGTAAAATTATAAACGAAAGATAGGATGGGAAGGAGAATCCTTACACTTCTGCTAAGTGAGGTGAACATGGACGAAAGATGTATAACGGTGAAAAAGGAAAATGGAGGGTACACAAAGTATTAGGATGGAGCAGATTAATTCAAAACATGTAGCACACTTTCATTTTACTTGTGAGTCATACTGAGGGCTTCGATGTATACTTTTGTAACGCAGAGCAATTATTTTTGAAATAGATGTGTATTTTAAGATAATATTGTTGTAATAAAACAGTTCTGCATCAGTATCGATGCAGGATCTCTGTCTGTGCACTACTACATGTTTAATGTAGTCACATCTGTTTCTTGTCTTAGTTGCGGGGGTTCACTAAAACAGAAGGCTAAAACATCATTTGGATAACGTCGTCAAGTTGAGACATTGGCACGTACCTCATCAATCCCCCAACTTTCGTCATACCAAGTTTGATTCCTGTATATAGATGTAGTCTCTCCTACCTCCAGAGATCTTCAGTTCATTATATTAACTGAATATCTCTGAAGGCTATATTCATCGCTCCTCTCGTCAACTCCACAGCTTTACATCTAAAGCCCCGTTCACCTAATCCTGTGCTCGAATACCACTCTTCCTTCCTCTCCAACAGCCCGAAATCCCTCTCGATCTTTAACCTCACAACAAGTATCAATTGGTTTTGTTTAATTTTTAATTTTAAATGAGGACTATTGTACAATTACCACCCACAAGACTCTGTTATAATTAATCCTTATCCTGATTCGGCGCGCTGAGGCCCATGCAGGATTTTATCGGAAGATATGTACTTTAAGTAGGATGACTCAATTTGACGTTTTCAACACTCACACTCAGATTTCATTTGCAGATACCACTCGAGGTTAACCCATACGGCGTATAATCTCTTCCGTAAATACCTATCACAGGGAAAAGCGTGAAAACCCTGTGGCTATCCAATTGTGCTTTCATCATCTAGCCACTACAACATCAGCTCGAGAGAGAGCGGTATGTGGGTCTTACTGGATTCAAACCAGCTTTCTCCTGTCTCGAATGGGGTAGGTGTTAAAGCTACCCAGTATCTACTTGGGCGAACGGCCTGGGTGGTGTACCATCCAACCCTGGCACTTGGTATTATGTCGATACTATTTTGATTTGTGTTCATTATCCTGATTTGGCGCCCTATGGACTCATGCAGGTGGCTTTAACCCTATCTGTATATTTACATAGGAGGAAACCTCTCGGTGAAACCCCCCAAGCTTTCTTATTTAATTCTTATAGTTTGCAATTTATCCTTCAGGAAGCACAGTTACACTGTAACGCCGTCGATGTGTACCAATCACGTCCATTCTATCGACCCCAACCTTCTTCATGTTCCGTCTCGTTCCCTGAGCAGCATTTCGACTGCATCTGTCAAGCGGAATTGTTCTATCCAACCACGATTAAGAATCCATCGTGTGATTCTTTTCATATCGCTAGGATTGTTGGTCATTGCTTCAAAGGAGCGATTTCGGTCTTGTCTCCAGATTTCTCCTCTACCAATTGACCACTTAGGGCAGGACATGATCATGTGCTTGGGATTTTGTGATTGGTAGCTACACGGACAACTTGGGTGATAAACTCCTGGTACTTTTCTTCTATGCAAATACGAATTGAGCCCGATATGCTCGCTTCGAATCTGGATTGCTGAGCTACTTTGGGCCCTCGTCAGGTTTTTGTGGAGAGAAAATGGCGACACCCGGAAGCTTATTATTGTACGTCCAGAATGGCGGCATTGGTAAAACTTTGCTGCTGCCCAAGTTTTAGGATCTGCTGAAGCAAATCTTTTAGGCTGTCGAGTTCGCTTTGTGGCTGACCAAGATTTCGCCCATTCTAGGTACGCTGCAACTCTTATCGCTTCTTTTTGTAAGTCCTTGGATTTCTCCTCTCCGCAAATCTCTTTCCAGTATGCAAGGTCTGCTCTTCTATTATGTGCTCTAATATCTTCTCTTCCCCTTCTGGGGTTGATACTAGTTTATGGCCTATGTTATGATAAGCTAGTTGAAGGAGGGCAGGTATATGTATGATGGCTTGGACTGTAGAAACAGAGTTCTCTACGCTTAGTTTTCTGTCACAACCACCACCTTCGGATTACTTCGGATTACCTCTTGTATCTTTAGTTACCATTAGTACCCAATCGAACTGTCATGTAGAGACATGATTCATTCATGAGTTGATATTGTTCAGAAGATCATGACTATATTACAACGTCATTTACAGACACGATTCATTGTTTGTACCTGTTGTATCAACCATGACTATGTCTCAGTGATAGGAGAAACATCATTGACTAGTTACTAGAAACCTAGTCAATATCCTAAACACATAACTGAGACTAGGAGTATTTTACTGAGTAAGTAATTATTCTGATGAATCTAGATCTGGAGGAACATAATCTGGTTGCTTGGCTCGAGGTATATGAGCCTGAGCATATCATGTATAATAAAGAATATAGAAATCTATCTCAATCACAATCATCATCTTAATTCATGTCACCATCAATAGCTGCAAAGGACAGTTTAACCATTTCCTTATGCGAACCTTTAGACCTTTTAGATATATATATTACCCATCTTTTAAACCTTTAGTTCCTCATAGTAATCTCCAGTAGACCTTCTGTCATCTCTTGCGATCCATCTAGCCTCTTCTAGCCCTCCAATCCCGCTTCAGCACAAACTCCTACGCTCCAATCTGACATTAAGCTTCTTCTG